TATCATTGCAAGCAGGCCACACCCCTAGGGAAACTCCCCTTGGGCAGAATGGCCACTCAGAACACAGTCATCTGATCCCATCATGGGAACAACCACACAGAACTGGGGTCCAGCCAAATTGACACATAGCTCCAACTATCACAAGTACTGAGATGGTTGAAGCTGCAGACTGTCAGCTACCCTGATGGGACCAACAGCCTGAATATTTCCAAGTGGAGTTGGGACCTGAGAATTGACCTAAAGGTCAGCCCTGGTCACCAAGGGCTACAGGGACCTCTGTGCTGGTGGCCTATGACTAGGAAGGGAAAGTGCAAGAAGGTAGACAACCTGACCTGTTGACTTTCCACCGTCCAGAGGGCACAGGCATTCTGATTGTTTATACCTGGCAGCCATTTTGGATATTTAAAGTGACCAAAGGCACAGGCATTGTGATTGTTTACAAGTGGTGGCTATTTTAGATATTTAAAGTGACCGAGGGTGCAGCCATTTTGAATCTTTACAAGTGCCAACCATTTTGGATTTTAACGTGATAGCATTCTCATTCGTATTCCAGGGATCTAGGAATAGGCTTTGTTTGCTGAGGTCAGCAGGGACATACAAGAGGCTGACAACAGGAAAGGAGACAGGTGGTGAGTGTATAAATGCTGTCAACTAGTGAATAGAGGAGCACAGCACAGTACTCTGTTTGCATAGATAACATACAAACAAAACAGAAAATGAAAATCATGGGTAAGTCACTCCAGTATACAATCACCAATTAAATATAAACACAAAAATGTCACAATGCCTCGGAAACAACAGAACATCAAAGTCTACAGAAAGAATCAAGATAAATCAGGAGAAACAAGGGACCAGGATGCAGACCCAAAACACATCCCTGAGGAAGACGCAGCAGTGGAACTCCCTGATAAGGAATTCAAAAGAATATATTTAGATATCTTCAACAAATTGAGAGATAGATCAAGGAAAACACAGAGAAAACCCTAGAACAATTTTGAAAGACAATACAAAAGCAAAATGACAAAATAAATGAAAAATTAGAAATGATTCTAAATCTACACACAGAAATCCAGAAAATTAATACTAAATTTTCAGAAATAGATAACACATTGAATGGGCAAAGGAGCAAAACTGAATTGATGGAAGACAGAATTACTGAGATTGAAAGCAAATATCTGAAAGCTTCTTTGGAAAGAGATCAATCAGAAAAAAAGATCAAAACAAAATGAAGAAAGCCTAAAGTTCATGTGGAATACCATCAAAAGGAATAATCTACGTGTAA